AGGAGTTCCACAAGCTCCCGGGTGATCCCCTGTCCAGCCGAGGTTGAGAACAGCTGAGTTAGATCAAGGGCTGTAATCCAGGGTCACACGGGAACCACCTGGGGAGCTTGGAAACAACGCCCAGGCCCCACCTCCTGATGCGGGGAACCAGGTGGGGGCCGGCGGAAGGGGAGTTGCAGGTTTTTAGGAGGTCGCTCTGTCGGAGCTTGGGAGTGTCAGAGCTGCCCATTTTACCCTGTGTTTTAAAAAGCAGCTCAGGGATTCCCTTTTCAGGTTTCCAGAGGCATTGCCAGGACGTCCAAAGAGGTCAGATTCCCCGCAGGGAAAGGATCAGAGCGTCCAGACCAGAGGGACTGAGCCAGGGAAACCTCGACAGAGGGTGTAAACAGCGTAGCCTCACCTCTGTGCACCCACCAGGCGTTGGGGTGCATTTATTTAGTGTTAGAACTTTGCTGCTGCTTCACACACCTTTTAATTCTGGCGAGAAAAATCACCACCAGCAGCAAAATGCCCTCTACCCGAAGCTCCAAGCAGTTCCACAACCTATATAGCCAGTCGGGCGACAACTTGAGTCTTCCGATCAAAGGCCAGAGTGTTTTTTATGGGTGTCTCTGGGGACTCCTGCCCCCGGCTCATTTGGGGACTTCAGCCTGAGCAAAGCTAGAGGTGGCGCCTTCACCGGCCAGCGACTCCCACACCAACTTTTCCTCCTTTGACCGCTAAGCCTGAAGGTCTTCCTAGGAGCACCACTGGTTAATCCTGGTCCCCTCTCCAGAAGGTTCTCTTGTTTCACAGGGACAACCACCCAGAAACACTGCTGAGTTATTCTTGCAAACCCCTCAGGGCTTGGCACAACCCCCAGGCCTGGGAGACGCTGGTCCCATAACACAGCTGCAGATGGGGAGCGAGCTGGGAGCCAATTAATGGTCAAGGTCATTGGAAAAACCATGAAAGCGGCCTCAAGTGTTAGGCCCTGAGGGCTACTTGAGCGGCAAACCCAGGTCAGGGCAGCCAAAAAGAAATGTCCCAGCCTCCACTCTGCCCAAGCACCTGCTTCCTGAGGGGGCTGAGGCCCTGATGAGACATGATGTCATTGGTTTTTATCACATGGCAGCTCGAGGAGACGGAAAAACAAGGCCTTGCAGAGGTAAAGTGGCCGAGCGAGGAAAACCCCCCAAATTTCCAGCCTGTTGGATCAGGTCCCCAAGACTGGGAAATAAAGCCACCTTGTCACACTCGCCTGGACGGTGGTGCCTTCAAGGACCCCAAGACCCTAAGCATATTCCTTCCATGGGATTGTCTGTAAAATTAAAATGTTTAATTTCTTAAAAGGTCTATCTAAATGGGAGGTATTGTGGCCATGGAGAAATAAAATATTTAATTGCTAAGTAAAACAGATTAAAGGTTCCTTTCATCTTAAGGAAAATAAAATGGACCAAAACATTACATATGTCGTTCACCTGTTGAAATAATGTAGTTTTTCTTGGTTGGTGGTTTAATTTTAAAATTTTGGCTAATTCTTTTTCTGCCAAGGGCAGAAGTTAACTCCGTTTTATGTACGCGTACATTGATTACTTATTTTTGTCATTATTAAAGTATTAATGAAATGCATGCACAGAGTTAAACATTAAATCATTCCATTGACTCATAATGAAAGCTTACACTCCCCTCTCCCCCCCCAGGCTCCTTCCATCTTTCTAGTCTCCCCCCCTCTCCCCTCCAGCACAATCACTTGTGTGTTTTCCTTTGGTTGGGGTGAGAAAGAAGCACATTTAGACCAGAGGCCATTCCTAACAAAGATAGGTATTTGGGGGGAGGATGTCCTATTAGCTCTTCATGAATTGGTCTTTTATTTATTCCTTTAATTAAAAATGTCGGGCCCTGGCCGGTGTGGCTCAGTGGTTAGAGCGTTGGCCCATACACCAAAGGGTCAGAGGTTTGATTCCCAGTCAAGGGCACATAACTGGGCTGGAGGTTTGATCCCTGGCCCCAGTTGGGGTGTGTGTGTGAGGCAACCAATGGATGTGTCTCTCTCACATCAGTGTTTCTCTCTCTCTCCCTCCCTTCCACTCCCTAAAAATCAATGGGAACAATATCCTTGGGTGCGGATTAACAACAACAAATCTGCCTCCCTCTTAAAAATTGTTTTCAATTGAAAAGTAATACCATACAGAAAAGCAAACATATTAATTGGTTCAGGTAAAATGTATTGTCACAATGTACACACGCCCAACGCTATCACCGTCCGTCCAGGTCAAGAAATGAAACACAACCAGCATGTCAGCAGCTCCTCCCCCGCAGTGCTCCCCACCTTTTGTCCCCAAAGTAACCATTATCCTTATGATAGCTGCAGATGAGTTTTGCCTTTTGGAAATGTCTAAAAACGGAACCACTCAGTATGTAAAAGTTAGGCCTTGCTTCTTTGACTCAGCATTTTTGTGAGATTTACCCACGTGGTTTGCGTGTAATCATAATTGGTTAATGGCCATTTCTGCACAGGTTTCAATGACTTTAGTAATTATTTCTCCATGCTATGGTTGATGGGCACGTGTTTTGTTTCCAGTGTTGGCCACTCCCCGTAACGCTGCCATAACCGTTTCTGTCTCCTGGTCCATGAGTGCGTGGGCTTCTGATGTGTATACACCTAGGAGCTGAACTGCAGTGTCATAGGGCTCTTGTGGACTCAACGTCAGCAGATAATGAAAGACTGTGTTTTAAAGTTTGGTTTTTGTTTTTTTGTTTTTAATATATCTTGATTGATTTCAGAGACAGGGAGGGAAAGGGAGAGAGAGAGATAGAAACATCAATGATGAGAGAGTCATTGATCGGCTGCCTCCTGCACGCCCCCAACCGGGAATCGAACCATGGTCCCCTGGATCCTAGTCGATGCTCAACCACTGAGCCAGGCCCGGCTGGGCACATAGTTGAGTTTTAATTGCTCCCAACCTTGCTAATACTTGATACGGTCAGTCATTCTCCTTTTAGACATTCTAATGGGTGTATGGTATTATCACAATGCGGTTTTTATTTGCATTCCCCTGATGGCTAAAAGGGGTTGAATATTTTTTTCATTGGCTTTTGGACACACGGGAAATTCTTAAGACTCTTGTCCATTTTTCTTTTATGTTGCTTTTCTTATCAGCTTGTAGTTTTTCATATTCTGGCGATGAGTCCTTTTCAGATACGTGTGTTATTTTTATGTGGTATGGCTCGGCTTGCCTTTTCATTCATTGACGGTCTTTCTGGAAGGGCTTGCTTTAAATGTGGTCATCTCTTCTGATTTTCTCCTCTTGGATCTTGGCCCTCTCACTGCCTTGTAGCTCTCCTATGCCGCTATTTATTTCCAAGTGCCTTTAAACAGATTTAAAAAAATAGTTTCACCAGCTTTTCTAGATTTTTCCAATGGAAGGGTCGGGCAGAGCTCCCTCTGGCAATCACCGTTGATTTGTGCAGTTCTTTCTTCTGGCATTTCATATTTCTCAGTGTTACACTCAGAAAGCTATTTCTTGACTTAACATTCTAGACATTTCACATTGATTTTGTCTCGTGGTGGGTGAGCGTTTATCTACCTTACACTTGTACTTCATAGTCTCCTATCCTCCCGATAGTGTTATTTCATAATTTCAAACTTTCAGCCACGTTTACATTATATCGGGACTATGTAAAATATCAGTCCCTGTAGACTTAAGTGCTTGGCAAGAAATGTTCAGAGTCAGTTGCATTGGGATGATGTGTGGGATTCTCTCTGAAGTCTACAGCAGCCCCAAATAACATTGTAGATTTTCCAGAATAGTCTCAATTTCAAATGCAGAGAGCCCTCACCATTCTCAGGCCGAGCTGCAGTGGTTCCTCCTACTTAGCAGTGAAGGCGAAGGGCCAGGCTCTGTGGGATCCATCAACTTACTGACTCGGAGTTGCTGTGGGGTGGGATCCGGGAGCAGCTGCTTAGCAAGTGGCACCTCGGCCGACCACCCGGTGCCCACATCCCAGCGTGGCACTGCTGATCCTCCTTCTTGCCTTTCATGGGAGTCTCTTGGGAAGTGAGACTTGGAAAATGGGCTCAGAAAGAAATACAGCTGCTGGGGGTGGGACACAGAAGAAAGGGTCTTTCCTCGTGGAGCTTACAGTCCAGGAGGGCGGGCAGCCAGACAGGCTCACACTGTCAAAGGAGGCGGGGGCAGCGCTTGTTTTAAAAGACCGGCTAAGCCCTGGGCAGTTTGGGTCAGTGGTTAGAGCGTCGGCCTATGGACTGAACGTTCCCAGGTTTGATTCTGGCCAAGGGCGTGTACCTTGGGTGCAGTGTCTCTCGAATCGATGTCTCTCTCTCTTTCTCTCCCACTTCCACTCTCTCTGAAAAGCAATAGAAAAAAGATCCTCAGATGGGGATTAAAAAAGAATAAAAATTAAAAATAAAATAAAAGAACAGCTAACTAAGAGTTTGCACAGAAGGGAGAGAGGACCTTGGGTTGGAGGCATCCCAGGAGGCTTGATGGGCTGGGTTCTGAAGGACAGGTAGGATAGATGTGCAGAGATGGGAGAACAATCCAGAAGGAAGGGTGGGATAGAAGAATAGGGTATGTGTGTGTGCTGTGCATGAACAGTGCCGATGGGCACAGCCATTGTTCAAATATAAAAATAAAACAGTAAGTGCAGGGCAAGCTCAGTCTCATGGATCAGAGTGGCCCAAAGAAACCAGGAGGAGGAGAGCTAGTGTGTGTGTGTGTGTGTGTGTGTCTTGGAGGAGTTAGGATTAGGGGCGCACAGTGAGGACAAGGCAGTGACATTTGGAATGCTGAGTCCCAGGCCTTTGTGTATCTCCTCAAACAGCAGCAGCTGACCCTGGGCTCTGCTGGACTCAGAAGAGGCTGGACATGAGGCCATGGGTGATGTTGGCGAATCTTCCTTGCTTTAAACTTTCTTAATACTTTCAGAAAAAAACCTTTCCATATTAAAATAAACATGAAAGCATGAAACAGAATGCAAAAATATGTATAGGTTTATTTTCTGATTTAAAAAAAGACAACTTCAAAGAAATGTTGACTCCCTCCGAGACGTCCCTCAGTGTTGGCACCCTCCTGTGGCCACTGGGGCAACGAAGGCCAAGACCTGAGAAGCCCCGACATCCTTGGCCAGTTTAATGCTCACGGCAACTCTATGAGGTAGACACGATCATGCCGACAGCTGGAGAAACAGCTAGCGAGCAGCAGCAGCAGAACTCAAACCAGGATCTGTGTCCAAAGGCTAAGTTCTTTCCACGAGAGCCCGAGTGGTTGACAAATGATTAAAAAAAAAAAAAATGTGAGATAGGTTGAATCATGGCAGGTCTTGAACACCAGGCTGAAATGCAGGTTGCCTGCCACAAAGACTGTTCATGGCCCACTGGGTTCCATCTGCAGGAGCTGAAGGCAGACACGGGAAGAGTGCTGGGGCCACAGGAGGCCTAGATGCTCTTCTCTGGGGCCGGCTCTGTCTCCCTGAGACTGAGCGTGACCTTGACCCAGCAAGGGCACCGTTCCCAGGGTGGAAGCAAGAACCAGGCCTCTCTTTCTGTTTGCTTTCTGCTTAGTGTTGTCCTGCCGAGTACAGGGGCTCGGAATCGACGGCCGGCCCCTCCTGGAACTCAACGCTGGGGAAAGGGTGTCCGTCATGTGCAACTTCCCTCAAGGTGTCCTTCCCACCACCCACAGCTGGGGAATATTTTGTAGTTGGTGCAACAGGAGGGACCGGTGTTATCGAGTCTGAAAGGAGATCGATGGAGAGTGGGGGCCTCTGGGGGGCAGCTGCAATCTTTTGGATCTAGGACTTTCCATTTGGAAGCCAGTGAGACAAAACATCGCGTTGCTGTGCAAATCAAGAGCTTTATGGTTGTTGTTTTCCACAGTAGGGAAAATAAACTTCAAAAAGGACCCCCAGATGGAAACTCAGTGCAAAGACATAGCAAAGAGTCACCCGGGGCTTGGGATCGGTTGAAAAGTGCTCCTTTGGCTAGGAGGTGGTTGCTATAGTCTCCAGCGGAATGTCACCGTCCGCCTTCCTTTCCCTTCCTTTCTTTAGTATGTGTTGGGAGAGCTTATTAAGAAACCAGCCGACATCCTGGAGATCCTCGGGCCACCGCAGGTACGGCTGTTTCTGTACGAACCCCCTGATGGGCTCATGCTTCATGAGCTGGTACTGGGACAATGACCCGACCACCACCACGATGAGGGCGCCGCTGAGGTCGGCCAGGCTCCTGCTCTGCGCACAGCTGAAGGCTTCCAGGCACCACCCGTCCCTGAGGAAGTGTCTGCTCACAAGGCAGACGGTCTTCCTGCTGCTCCACACGGCCTGGTGGATGTTGGCGATGACGTTGTCCCCCGGCATAAAGTCTCTCTCTTCAAAGCACAGGTTGAACCTGTTTCGGTCGCTGTACTGAGCGTCCAGGTGCCTGAGCAAAGCGTTCTGCACCCACTCGAAGTCCTTGCTGCTGAAGCACAAGTAGGCGTCGTATTTGTAGGTGTCCGGCTCTCTGGCCTTGGTCTGCTCCTTCAACAGAAGTCTCTGGGCTGTCTTGTAACAGAGGAAACAAGGCCCCCTGAACTTGGCGAACATGAGGGTGGCCACGAGGAACAGGGTCACAGTGACAGTGAACAAGACGAAGAGGGAAAACTTCAGGGACCTGAAACTCTCCTCCTCATCACAACCCTCCGTGGACAGAGAGTAGAGGGACGTCCCAAAGAGCGAGTCGGGGTACATGCAGTAAATGTCCGCAGGGGACCCCAAGATGGTGACGTTGGTTTGATTGAGCCACTTGATGAAAGTGCTAAGCTCACACTCACAGATGAACTTGTTGTGAGTTATGTCCACGAAACTAAGGGATGCGAACACATCAGGATCAGGAGCTAGGAGCTGGTTTCTGGACACATCCAGAACCTCTAAATTAGGAGGCAGGTCGCCAGGAGAAAGAGCTGTCAGCCTGTTGGAGTTGAGGCTGAGCCCCCTTAACGCAATCAGATAGCTAAACACTCCCGGGGGAAGGAAATTCAGGTAGTTATTATTCAAGTAGAGAATCCGGAGATGGGAAAGGCCCTTGAAAACGTCCCAACACGACCCGGTCTCCCAGGCAAGTTGCAACATGTTTTCTCCGAGGAAAAGCTGTTCTAAGCTGAGACTCTCTGAAGGGGCACGCGTTTGAGCACAAAGGGAAAATCGATTTTGATTTAAAATGAGAACCCGGAGCTGAGGGATCTGGAGAAGAAGGTAGAGATCATCCAGACTTTCCAGCCTGTTCTCTGATAACTGGATAAAGTTGGCCTTGAGTCCGACGTTTGACAAAGTCACCAGTTTATTGCCACCCATGAAGATAGTATCTATGCTTGGGATAAAATTAATTGTTTTCAGAGCATTATCCCGGAGGTCCAAAGTATGTAATCTTCTCAGGGATCTGAATGTTTTGTCCTGAATGACCCCAAGGTGGTTCTTTTGCAGATCAATATAGGCTACGTTGAGTAGTCCGTAGAAGCTGGAATCGTACAGTTCCCCTAGAAGGTTATATGACATATTGAGAACTTGGAGGTTGCTGAGCCCATAAAATGCCTCATCTGTAATCTTGTTTATCTTGTTGTGGGCAACATTCAGAAGCTTCAACTCCTTGAGGGTCTCAAAGAGTCGGGAGTTCAGGGAGAAGATAAATCCATGGGAAAGGTCCAGGCTTTTCAATGAACTTCTGGCCAGGCCTGTGAATGTGTCCCGGTCAGGATCTTTGATGTTTTGGAAGCCAAACCCAGAACCCATAACGTGGTAGGTAAGAACCAAAGAGGAAATCTGGCTGCCGTTGATGGCGTTGCTGAAGTTTCTTGTGATGTCTATGGTCCAGCCATTTTCAGAAACATCCAGGGTGTCTAGGACCATGTTTCTGAAAGGGTTCATGCACTTCGCCCAGTCCACCGAGACCCTGCTGTACAGGTTACTAGCAGCAAGCCTTAAAAGGGAAAGACTTTTCCCTTGGAGGGGCTGGAGGTCATGTTCGCATACAATGGGTATTTGATTGAGGAAGAAGTCAATGGACTCCAAGGAATTTAATTCCCGGAAAGAAGGGTGAAGGGTAAGGCTATGAATCTGATTCATGGACAGGTCCAGGCGAGACAAAGACTCTAAATTTCTGAAATATCCATCTTTTAACACAGCATCGGAGAGACCACAGGCAAAGAGTCTGAGTTCAAACAGATGGGGCAGCCCCTGAAAAGCATCTGGATGCAGGAAGTCTAAGTCACTTTTGCCCAAGTCCAAGATTCGAAGATTGGGCAGGTTCCTGAAGGCATCTTTGTCAATAGTCAAGGAGGTAAACTGAGTCCCAAGCTCCAGCAGCTGCAGCTTCTCCAGGAAGGGGAATGACGTGGCTGTGACGATCTCAATATAGTTGAAGCTGAGCAGGAGGCGCTCAGTGGAGTTGAGGACCTGGGGGACCTGAGTGAGGTTGCAGAAACGATACAAGGCTATCTGACCATCAGAGGAACAGGAAGAAATTCCAAGCGCAGGACTGGCCATGAGCACCACTCCTAAGAGAAGGTCAAGGTGGTTTCCCATGATCCTATGGAGAAGAAGGGGGGATGAGAACATGGCTAAGACCCTTGGCACGTGGGTCTTTAGAACTTGGGGATCCTCTGAGCTTTAACATAATGTGCCTGTTCTCTTAGACCCTTCGATCCTCTGGCGCCATGGCCACGGTTGTGGACAGAGGTTTTCTGGTGTGGACAGCACTGTCTTTCTATCACTTACATTACATTTTCTACATGCCACAGTGGTTCTTAACTGCTTTGAGGTCATGGACCCCTTCAAGGATCTGAGGATAGCTCTGACTCCTTGCCTTCCAAAAAATGCACTTTTGCATCACAAATCAAGTTTTGTACCCAATTTCAGGGGGCCCACTGACCTCCTGAAGTCTGCTCCTTTCAACCTCATGTCGAGAACTCTTAGTTTATATAGAAAAATCACTGTGTTTTATAGGCTGCAACAGAGCTTGGAAAACTTCCTCTGTAATGGGCCAGATGATAAACACTTTAGGCTTTGCAATCCAAGTGTCATTGTTTGCAGACCTCTGTTCTAGAAGAAAAGAGAACAGAAACTTCAATTTCACAAATGAGGGTGTTAAGTGACTGTTGGATAAACATGTTCTGACACTGAACTACCAGGATTTGTGGGAAAGAGCTAACTTGGCCCCCAAGTTGCTGACGGTTTTGCAGCCGCTGTTTTATCAGAATGGATTCCCATGTCCTGTAACCAGGCTGAAAAATCCCTGCAGAGACATGGGAGTGAGAACACCAGCTTGGAATAACAGTTCCATGTTCTAATTTCACGCCTATCTTTTTATAGATGACTCAATGCTGGTCCCCAAATGCAGACACTCAACTAGGTGGCTTGACCTTGAACTTGTAAAAAGTGATGAAAGAGAGCCCCAAACCACATCCGTCCCAATACACTGAATTTTCAAGTCTATTATAGGAAAGCTAAAATTAAACAGTAAGGTAGGTAAGGCCAGCTGAACAGATTTTATTTTATTTTTTATTGTTCAAAATATTACAGATGTCCCCTTTTCTCCCCATTGACCCCTTCCACCCTCCTCCCGAGGCCCTCGCCACACTATTGTCTGTGTCCTTGGGTTATGCATACACAGATTTTAAAGATAATTATTTGGGCTTCTGTTGTATTACAAAGATAAATGAGCATTGACATAGGGCAGATCTAATCAACAGATGACAACGAGATGGCGTAGTTGTTTCAGACCTGAAGAAACCTAAGGAAGATGAGCATTCGAAAGGGGGGTCCATCCAGATGGGAAGAGAGCAGGTGGGGAGCAGGTGTGCACATAGGAGCATCCAGGAGAGAAGACCAAGTGACCTAAAACCCTAAACCTTAAGTGGGTTGAGGCCAGAAGGAGCAGGAGGAGCGAGAGTGTGTGGAGTAAGGCCCGGAGGAAACCCGTCCAGCCTGGGCCATTGCTCCTCCCGGAGTTCAGGCCGCAGGGAGCTGCAGTTGACCCCAGCAGAGGAGTGAGCCCTCCAGTGGTGTCCGGAATCCAGTTCTCAGAGAGTGGGCGCAGGAAGAAAAGAGCTGGGGAGCGAGGGCCGTGTGCTCATAGACCATTATTTAAAAGGCGACAAGCAGCAGCAGCATGGCCTTATGCTGTGAGTTCTGCCATCAGGTGACATGGGTTCCTTCCGAAATATCACCAGGCGATGTAAAATTAATAAATCCACAGGCTTCTGGGGAAAAGGCTTCTAGAAACAACACTCAAAGCGTCAGTAGTTGCCCGGCCGGCGTGGCTCAGCGGTTGAGCATTGACTTAGGATCCAGGAGATTGTGGTTCGATTCCCGGTCAGGGCACATGCTCGGGTTGCGGGCTCGATCCCCAGCAGGGGGCGTGCGGGAGGCAGCCGATCAATGACTCTCATCATTGATGTTTCTCTCTCTCCCTCTCCCTTCCTTTCTCTCTAAAATCAATAATAAAAACATATTTAAAAATAAGAATAAAACAAGGAGCCCTCCGACTCAGAGAGCTCACGATTCTCTTAGGTGAGGAGCTGGTAGGAAATGCAGAGGGCGGATGAGCGCTGGGTTTTTATTACGAAGGCCGCGCCGACGTGTATCCAGTGCTTTGAGGGGTAACGGAGCAGCAGTCAATGCAGCCTCAATCCTCCTGCCAAGCGCTGTTAATTAAGATAATGAGGCCAGGGGGAGAAGGGTCAGCCTCTCTTTCATCTGAGTTGAATGCATTTAGCTTTAATCCCAGCCATTAGCGGAGCAGGTTCCCTTTCTTGGCTTAATTGCCTAGTCGGCGTCGCTGCTCGCCTGAGCTGGGGTGAGTTATGGGCCTTGGTGTTGCCACAGGAAACGGGTACCCCTGCTCTCTGGGCACCCCGGTGAGCCTGCAAATCCCTCTGGCAGGAGCCGGGGCTGCTCCTGTGCTCATTTAACACTTGGTCCGTGACCAATAACACCAGTACTTTGCTCCTTTGTAGGACTCGGCCCTCTGAGAGGGCCCGCAAGGCTGCTCCTGGTAGGTGGCGGCCCACGTCTGGCAGGCGGCCCGGGCACTGGGCGTGGAGGACTCGCTGTCTGAGAAGAACACTCAATTCATTTCCAAATGGGTGCCTGGAAGAGTTTCTCCAAAGTTCATGTAGCAATAAAAGTCCTGGACTGGGTCCAAACATGGGTGTGAGATGCACGTTCAGCTTTGGATAAAGGCACCAGGCCAGTGGACAAAGCGAACTCACCAATGTGTCCCCTGGATGCAGAATCCAGCTTCTCGTTGGAACCAGCCAGCATGTGAGCACCACGAAGCCCAAACGTTGCTAAGGCCACAGTTCTTCCAGCCCAGCGTCCTGCCTCCAGCAGTAGCTCCAATAAAACATGTGGGCGAGCGCCAACGGCTTCTGGGAGTGGCCCTGTCCTCCTTCGCCCTTATCTGGACACACCTTAAAATATCCTTTGGGGCATCTGTAGCTTCCTCCCCACTGGAAGAAGCCTTAAGCACGACATCAATGCTGTTGGTGACCAATTCTGCGAAGTTGACCTCAGGATATGGCCAGCATCGATTCCCCCTCCCTTCCAACTGTCAGCCTTCGCTCAGCTTCCTGGCCCCCCCACCTCTTGCTGGGCCAGTGCAGTGACTTCCCAGCTGATCTGACCCGGTAAGTCTCACCCAGACACAAGCATCTCACTCAGCCGACCAAGGGGGCTCGTAGAGCAGCGCCCTGATCAGAAGCCTTTGCTGGCTCCTTGTGCCCACGAAAGTCAGACTGTTCAGGGTGTGAGTTCAGGGTCCTCCCCATGGACTAGACTCGATCCTGGAACAGTTCATTAGAGCGGGCCCTTAGCACTCGACCCCTCTGTTTTTGCAGAGGGTGAAAGTCAAGCCAACCTACCTTCCTGGCTGCGTCTATATATTCTTGCTCTGTGCTCCAGGGATAGCTTGCTTTCTCTGAACTTGGCATCCATCCGATTTCTCTGCTTAGGCTGGGCCCTGAGCTTGAATGCTTGTATTTGTCTCATCTGCTTATCCAATTCCAACGGACCCTTCCAAGGGGCTGGCTTTCCCATGAAATAGTTTTCATATTCCTACAGCATACTTTATCTCCCTCTCTCAATGTTCTGTTTACAGCTCCATGATAGCATTTTCATTATATTATGCCTCACTCCCCCTAGACTCTGAATTTCTTGATGACAAGGACCCTGAAGTACATAGCACAACTTAAGCACCCCAGTAGTATTTTCCCCATGAATCGTTTTTATAATAATTTTATTTTTAAAATTTATTATTATTTTTTTTATTGATTTCAGAGAGAGGAAAAGAGAGACAGAAACATTACTGATGGGAGTCATCGATTGGCTGCCTCCTGCATACCCCTTACTGGGGACCAAGCCTGAGACGGGAATCGAACCGTGACCTCCTGGTTCATAGGTCGACACTCAACCGCTGAGCCAGGTGTACAACACAGTGATTCCACATTTACCTCCCTTCAGCGTGGGCACCACAGCAAGTCTAGTAACCATCGGACACCATACATGTTATTAAAATATTATTGACTCTATTCCCTATGCTGCACTTTATATCCCCGCAACTTATTTTATAATTGGAAGTTTGTACTTCTTTCCCCACTAATACTTTAAGAAGATTTATTTTCATCAAGAGTACTTACCTCCCAGTCCTGACACCAGGAGCTGCCAATATATTCTTCTTATTCTAGGGAACAGGCCCCTGGTAGTTTAAGGACTTCAGTTCCTGAGATGATAGGAACTTCCACAGTGAGGATGGTGGCCAGTGTTTGCCAGGGAATGAGTAGGAAGGGCTTTTGTTTTCCTAAGGAAGCACAGGAAATCTAATTAAGAGGGAGAATCAAAACATTACATGTTTTTCTATGCCCCACAGCAGTGTTCTTTGTAGAAGAATTTAAAACCCTAGGTGTGTCTCCGATTGAACAGAATTTTAATTGGCAGAGATCAAGGTCATTTTGTCACTCAAGGCCTGTGGAACCTCAGAGCTGAAGGGATCTGGAGAAATTCCAGGCCCGGCCTCTGGTTCAGGAGGTGGGTGTCTAAGCCAGTCGCTCAGATGGGTGACTTTCTTCCCTGTACCTCCAGGAAGGGGAACTACACTTTCATAATGCCATCTATTTTTGTTAAATCACCGTGGTGGTGAAAGAGTGTCTCCTTGGACCTAGAAGTCCCTTTCATGACAATTCTGGGGTGATTTAGTTTCTGGGAACTCAAGCACAGGGAGGGGACAACCCATTGTCTACAGTGAGCAGACAACTTGCAGGTTTCTAGGGAAGAAACAGCTACGATCACCATCAGAAGGTGACATTTCTAGGAATGAAGCACGCCTAAGATGCACATGATCACTTTTGAGAAGGGGGCTTTACCAAGACAGTCCCCTCCAGTTCTTCTCAGCCCTGAAGGGTGAAGGACTAATGCTACTCAAAGGGGATGCATCTGAGGCTTCCGAGGAGGGGGGGGCTGGACAGGTCATATCGTTTTACTTGGAGCTATGGAAAAAGGAGAGCTTGGGGGCAATTTTTCTGGTTCCAGGAGAGGCACGGCTCCTGGAGGCCAGCAAGGGGTGCACCAAAGGTGGGGACTAAGGGGAGGAGCCCGCAGGAGAGGCTGAGCTTGGGGGTATGCAGGTCGAGAGCTGCTCTAAGCTGAGCTCCAGGGGGAAGCTGGTCTTGCTGGCTTACATTTTGAGGGCACACAAGTGCTCCTGGCAGGCCGGCCATTCCTAAGGAGCACAGGGAGAGAAGGTCATTACTGAATTTCAAACCAGGGCTGTGATGTCTCTTCCTCCTGAGCATGCACCCTAGAGGGGATCATCCGCCCCTACCCCATGCACCCTTTGAGGTTCTCTGTCTGTTTTGCAGTGCATACAATTTTGATTTCGTTGGAAGGATCAAAGTGACACTAAATTTGTAGCTGGCTTCAGATTCTAGCTCCACACTCTAATAGACATGTGACCTTGAGCAAGTTCGTAACCTCTGTGAGCATTGGTTTAATCACCTGTACAATAGCAACGATAACAGTTTCTACTCCCCCCCAGGGAGCACCCACATCGGCTTTGGGACTGATTTTTTTAGTGCCTGAACCAGAGAATCGGTTATTGATGCATAATCCTCTATTATTTCTTGCTCGCTTAAGTAGAGAGACATCATTTCTGCAACGGCATCTCACCAGAAACATAATCCTTTTAGAAACCACTGAAGGGGAACAGCGAGAGACGGAAATGGGATTTCTCAAGGCACTGGGGTGAGCGGGTGTTTCTCTTGTCTGCACTCATGGGAAATTCCGTGAAAGCTTCCCCAATTGTCTACAATATTTTCAGGTGGTTGTCCTCCTGAAACCACAAAACACCAAAAACAACTGCCAGAGACACTGATATTCTAAAGACAGGATGTTGAAAACCCAACTGGCTTAGATACATTATAAACTCATAACAAACATGCAATTTTAAAGCATCTGATGCACAGAAATAATTCCATCCAACAGATTATTAAAAACTAACAACTAACTGGCCGGCATGGCTCAGTGATTGAGCATCACCTAGGATGCAGGAGACTGAGGTTCGATTCCCGGTCAGGGCACAGGCCCGGGTTGCAGGCCCAGTAGGGCGTGTGCAGGAAGCAGCAGATCAATGACTCTCATCATTGATTGTCTCTCTCTCCCCCTCTCCCTCCTTCTCTCCGAAATCAGTAAAGATATATTTAAAACAAATAAACCAAAAAAAACACACCTAACAACTAGCATGACACATTTAAAATCCTTGGGGGAAGAGAACTGACCAAGGAATTGCACATCTCACCCTGTCTTCAGGTTCAGGCGACACCCGTATTCTCAGTTAGAGGATTAACGGCTCAGGCTCTGATAGCCTCCCCCGAATGCAACTCAGCTAATGCTGGCATGCTGATGGGCAAAGGAAATTGCCAGGAAACATGGGCAAGTGCAAGGCAGGAGCCCGAGCAGATGAGAGCTGGGAGTGCCATATTGCATCCCTTGAAAGTGATGACACAGACAATCTGCTAAGAGCAGCAAAAATCAGTTGGATTGTGATGCAAATTGGAAGCAGTTGGGTGGGTGGGGGCACCGGGAAGAAAAACCTTATTAAACTGTGATCTGTTAGACACAGAGAATGGAAACAGGAGAAGAGATTATAAAACACAGGAGAGCTGTCCTGGGCCGGATCTGGAGTCTCTGCTGGGCTAGTAAAGGCACAAAGAGAAACCTGCCCAGATGGGTAAAATCAAGTCTGCTCTGTAGCTGATGGAGACACCCCTGGTGCCGGGAGAAGGAGGGGAGAGAGCGGAGTCTGGCCAGCAGGGGTGATCCAGGGTCTCCAAGCCCGCTAGATGCCGAGGAGGGAAGAGAATTTTATTGGCTACACCCAGGGACCCTGAGCAGAGCCAGGGGAGGGTGGGAACCACACCCCTGCCTTGTGCACTGGTTCCTGCCTTGTGCCCAGTTTCCTGGGCCCCCAGGGAAGCTCATGGAGCGTGGAATCTGCCCTGGGCAGGCTGCCCAGGGTGGCTGAGCTCCCTTCTGAGTGGGGGTGGAGGCAGCCAGAGACTTGGCTCTGACTCCCCGTGGGTGGTAACTCCCCAGATTCGGGAAATTATGGCAAAGACACTGGGCTGGGGGAGGGGAGGCCTGGGTTCCAGTCCTCCGCCATCATCTGGGTGCCTTGGCAAGTCTGGTTCCCTTGCCCTGTTACTGTGTGTATACAACGGCAAGTGTGAGCTAGAAGCATTTTCATATCCCTGTGGACTCTAAAATGATCTCAGGAGGCTTGCTAAGTGTCGTGACGGCAATCACAGGCCAGGGCACACTCCTCCTAGGCGTGAGATATTCACCCTCTCTTTGGGCAAATGTGTGAGTCCAAGTTATAGAGGATCTTGAAAATGTCTAGTGGAAAATAATGAATGTACCAATAGAATGAATAAATAAAACGGATCCATATATAAGTAGAAAATCTCCCCACCCAAGGCTTTCTCTCAGAGGGGATTGCTTTGGGGGCTAGATAATACTTTGAGAGTAGAAAATTACCCCCGCCTTTCCCTGCCTCCCCACCTCCACATCTCCCCGTGTCATCTCCACAGTCTCCCCGTGTCATTGCCCCAGGCCAGGTACGTGGCAGGACTATGCCCAGAATTAGCCTGTAGACTCTTCTGGCCTTAGGTCGAGGGCTCAGAGGCTTTTCCAGGAGATACAGAGAGGAGGGGGCCGGAGGGGAGACACAGAGAGGGTGGGAAGACATAGAAAGTGAAATCAGTTCTGTGGGTCTCAGGAGGGCAGGGCTCTGGTGAGACCTCAGAGTTTGGCTCTGTGGTCCAGAAGCCGCGGAGGCCGGCAAGTAGGGACTAGAGCGTGCTCAGGGTCACCTGTCTGGACCAGCCTGGTGACCAGAAGCCCCCCCCCGCAGGTCTTGACAATGCATAACACCTGGATGCTGGGAGACACAGTGCGGTGGCTCCCACTCCTACCAACCAGCCCTATGAGACAGAGGCTTCAGGCTAACATTAGGTTAATATAAACTAGTATTAAATGTCTAGCAAAGAAAAGGAGAGGTGGTATTTCTTGCACGCCTGATCATGTTAGAGATTCAGACTCTCTGCCCTTTCATCTTGCGTGATGGGAAGGGAAATAAAACGAGCCTTGGAACTACAGATGGGGTTCCTCGACTTAGGAGGGGGCTACATCCCGGGAAACCCATGGTTAAGTCAAAAATGCATTTAATACGCCCAACCTATCCAACACCCTAGCTTAGCCCAGCCCACCTTAAATGTGCTCAGGACACTTACAGTTGGGCAACATCACCGAACACAAAGCCTATTAGATAATAAAGTATTGAATAGCTTGTGCCATTTATTTTTTATTTTATTTTATTTTTTAAAAATATATCTTTATTGATTTCAGAGATAGGAAAGGAGAGGGAGAGAGAGAGAGATAGAAACATCAATGATGAGAGAGTCACTGATCGAGCCCGCAACCCGGGCCTGTGCCCTGACCGGGAATCGAACCCAGATCGCCTGGATCCTAGGTCCACGCTCAACGGCTGAGCCACGCCCGGCCGGGCTCTTGTGCCATTTATTGACCACTGAACTGAGAGTGGAAAACAGAACGGTTGTCTACACCATTGTAAAGCTGAAAAATCCTAAGTCGGAGACCATGTGTGTCTAGAACCGGTTATGTCCCTGACCGCAATGAGCAGGAAGCTCAGGTCACAGAAACTCGGGGCTGAAAGTGGTTTAGTTCCCGCCTTTGTTATGATTCTGAGGTTGAAGGCTGGCTCGCTTCCCGTGTACACAGAGGGGTTTGAATGCCATGAGACACGCAGCTCTGATTTTTGGGTCCCTTGCAATACTTTGCACATAGATTATTATTTGACCAGTAAGTTCCTTATTGACTGTGAAAGCCCATCTAACCCACAGTGAAGCTGGGGCCAGATAGGTCACTGGTTTAGCGGCCTTGGACAGGTCAAGCTGTAAGCAATGCCAGGACAAAGAATCGTGTACTGGCGTCAGGAACATGAACATTAATCTAAGGCGTGAACTTGCTTTTTGTCGCCTGAAAAATGAGAATGACAATACCCACTCACAGGTACTCAGAACAGCGTCTGGCTCAGAGTAAATGCTATTGACGTGTTTGCTGTAATTATGGTGTCATTCATCTGTGCGCAGTAAAGGGGGGATCGTCTGGCCAGCAGCAGCTCGGAGGAAAGTCAAGTTTTGGGGGGGGGGGGAGA